TGCTGGAGGAGACAGCGGCCTTCCCCAGCTCCCCCCTGCCATCAGCCTCCTGTTACACTTAGGTCTTTCCTCCCTCCCGCTCATGTCTTCTCCAGGTGCAAGAATCTTAACTTTTAGTTGCTTCTTGTACTGAAATTATTTGATAGTCTCTCGTTAACCCTTTTTTTTCCCAGTAGCTTTTCTGTCTGGTTTGGTGTTTCTGGTTTTCTAGTAATTCCTAACATTGCATTTATTACTTGCAGCCTAAATAGCATACGTGAATTAAAAAGCCTGCGTATTTAAATAACCTTTTTTCTACTGTAGTGACATTATTGTTCTTTAAATGGAATGGTACTGTAGAGCATATCTGATTTATTTATTTCTGAATACAAAAGGCAGGATTTATTGGGAGTGTGAAAGCTGTTCTACCTTGTGGCTTAGGAAGAGCATACAGCCCATTATGTATGCCCTGCCCTAGTGTCAGACAAAAGACTGTGGTTCTCCTTAGACATTTGTTTTCAAATCTAACCAAGAGAGCTCTTGCTGTATGTCTGTGTTTTTAAAAGTTACTTTTTTGAGCGCAGTCTCTGGGGGCAGATAATGAGAAGTTTCCTATTTAGCTCATTTTCAGCTTCCTTTCTTAGAATTCATCTTTGCAGGATCACCTCATGCCCTAGCCAGAGAAACTGCTGTCTGCAGCTACTGCTGCAAAGGAATAACAGAATTTTGTGCATGTAAAAATTGGGTGACAGTTCCTTCACCGAAAAGGTTGCAGTTTAAATAGCGAATATGGATAACAAGAAGGTATGAACTGAGCAGTTGTTTTTTTTTTTTTTAAGCCTTTTTGCAAGTGTTGTGCTAGGTCTGTATCTTCAGTGTGGGACGGACTGCTCTGATAGAATGGGTGGAGGGAGGCAGCAGCACAGACACACCTGATGGGTGTGGGATGTCCAAGACCTACAGCTCATGCTCCTCACTGGTGGCCTTTGCATGCAGGGCAAGGTAGATACAGAACACACTGCTGCCCTTGCACAGGCCATTTTTGCAGTACAAAAATAACAGGGTTGCTCCGCGCTCGTACCGTGGGCATGGCAAGCGTTTTTAGACTTTGGCAGGTTGGTCTGGACTGTCACTCTGGCTAAACAACCAAATGTCCAGAAATTCCAAGCAAGGCTAAAGTCTGTATGTTCTACCTACACACAACTCCCGGTGGAAAGAGCGAATATGTTCAGTAGAGCTCTAATGTCTGTGATCCTAATGGAGGGAAGGGCTAGCTGACATCAGGGCACTGGGAAGGGGAGAAGTATCCAGGGAAAAAGTGAAATGCTGGTCAGACAGCAGTGGTGATTATACGATATTGAATGTTCTTTTGTAGCTATATGTGTCAGCTGCTAGTTTAAAAGACCCCACAGTTATCAACATGGAGCAGTGCGTAGTAAATACATTCTTTAGGTTACAGATACTGGTTTGCCATAACAGGCAGTAGTGCCAATTCCTAATATAGTTAAGTAGTGCTTCTCATACATTCATGATTATTTGACCTTATATGGTAGATTTCTCAATGTTTTAACGTAATTGGAACCATGTTTTATAGTAATACTTTCTCAAGTATGCTGTCCTTTGAATTTTGGAATAGTGTACTTTGCTTACTTATCGTGAGTTTTGGGCTTCTGCCTGAGAAATAGTAGTTTGAAATAATAAAAGAGGTTTTAAATGGACACATTATTAATGACACTGATCCATCCACTTAGATTTGATTCTTTCCTTCCAAATTTCACATGCTGGTTTTTTGTGCTGTCATAGAAGCATACAGAAGAGTACTTTTATTTTTCTTTAATTAGCATAAGATTGTTTCATGGACATTACTGTAACAAAATACTTCCACTGAAATGTGAACACTTGATCTTGAGGGGGAATTTCTGCTTATTTTCATTATATACATTAGATTTCCTCTTTGTTTTTTTCCTGAAAGGAAAGGCTGTCTTGACCGCAAAATGCGTAAGTTCATGGCATTGGACAAACTGAAGAAGAGAAACTGTGTTTAGGTATGAGAACTGATAGTGCTTGCATTCTTAATGAAATGGAATACATATGCTTGTTCTTTAACATTATTGTAAATAGGTTCTTCCACTGAAGAAAGACACTTGCTAAATGTACATCAGTTAAATGAACTGTATCGCTCATTTCTCAAGAAGAAGCCTTTCTCCAAAATGAAGAAGAGGAGTCAGTCCTAGTTTCGAAGATTAAAAAGGGTGGCATGACTTTATGTGAATCAAGCTTCGGAAGAAATTAGCAGGAAGCACGTTAAGTCTCCCACTGTGTATGAAGCTGTGTATGAAACTTTTATTTCCTTTGCAGAGCAGTTCAAATGATGTAATGAGTGATCGATGCCTTGCATTTTTGTACTGCTGTCTGTCTTTGACCGTGTAATTGAGATTGGAGCAGCCTATATTTCACTTACTTATTAAGAATTTCTTAACAAAGACCAGAAACTTGCAAGTTACTAGGCTGTCACCCAGACAGCCCTGTCTACAAATTTCTAGTAGACCGTGATGACTCCTTTAAGATATCCATTGGCTGAATACGAATTATGCTTTATAGCAGTAGGATTGTGCTAAAGTAAATTGAATTTTCCTGATATCTTACTTTTCTTGGCTGCTTAATTGTGAAGCAGTGGGAAAAGTTTCATTCGCTTGAGAATTCTTGGGAGAGCCTCGTGTCTCTCATCTCGCAAGCTGTTAACTTCTAATGCTGGCATGAACAAACTTAAAAAGTGACCTGTGGTCACTTACACCCTGGAAGCATTGTCAGACTGGCTAATTCCATTCCCAGAATTAAAATTTTAATTTAACTTGTTCTTTCACAACAGTCAGGGAGATTCTCTTGACACCAACAGCAGCTGACCACCCCACCTACCGTGCACATCTAATTCTCTTTTTGTAACCAAATTATCACAGTTTTATCTGACTTCATTATTACAAAACAGGTATTTTCTCTATTTGACAGCTTTTTTCATAATACGTTACTTTGCATTTCATGAAAAGCTCGAAGCAGAGCTGACATGACATCATCTAACAGCTATTTTCATGTCAGTGTGTTTGCAGAAAGTCTTGCCAGAAGTTCTTTTACTTAAGCTCAGGCTGAACTCCTGTGAGAGTGTGTGTTCACAGCACTATGTAAGGAGCAACGCACCGTGCAGATACTGGAGGGAGGGCAAGAGGAGTGGGAAAAAACTAACCAAATTGTAGAAACACAGAAGCCTGCGGGCAACCTGAAGGTGATACAAGAAGACAATTA